ACCATCCATAATAATGAAAATAAACGTGATAATCTGTGTTTACAATTAATGGGGAGCTCCATAATATATCTCAAAAGAATACAGTACCAAATATAATTTAAAGATACGACTGAATACACACAAAAGTCCATAGATAGTACATGTCCTCTAAAGATGACTCAAGACGTACTTTGATGGTCTCGGCTGGTCTATACTGCTGCACTGGAATTTACGGCGATGATAACTCCCCACGATATGTCCCTAAATGCCTGCACACGAAAACACATTCCGAACGATGAACTTACGGGCTCAGTGCCTTACTAATAATTGTACTACACTACATGCATTCACTAAATGAATTAGCAAGTGGCACATGTCTGAACATGCAAAGTCTCTGATTAAACTACTGAGTAAGTATCATGGTGTGGTTGAGGGTTCTATATCTAGGAGCTCACACACCCCTCTAGCTTTTCTGTGATAACATCGGGTATCTAGGGTGAGATCAGGAGCTGCATCGGAAACGTACACCCGCCAAATTACTCCGTCTAGTTTTGGGGCATATGTGCCCAGTTGGCTACTGAAGTGCCTTGGCACTAACTTTGATATCCACTGACTGTCGTACTCTACTACTGAGGAACTCGGGTGTCCTGGCTGTTTCCTGAGCATTAAACAATGCTAGTTTTATGTAAACCTAGCTGTTACTATTTCTACTGTTCTGTTATTTATTTATGTTCTCTATTGAAGTCTTATTTGTTGTTATTAGAGTATATTTGGGGTACCTCGGGTTTGATCCCTTAATCTTTGGATTATTTATCTAAAAATGGTTGTGGGTATCGATACTGACCCTTCAGTATTGATACTGAACCTTTGGTATCGATACCCACCTGCTGGTATCGATACCCTCTGACTGATGTGGACATTTTAAATAAAAAAAAGTATCGATACTCTGGTGCTTGGGTATCGATACTTGATTGAGTATCGATACTAAATTTGTGTTCGATGTTTTGAAAAATACCCCAATATCGATACCCCTATGGGGAGTATTAATACTCCTGCCCTGGTATCGATACTCAATGAATGAGTATCGATACTACACTTATAAAACTACCCAATTTATGTCTGACTGAAGAACAATATCGATACTGTTCTTACAATATTGATACTGTCGCTACTGGGTGCCCTGCTTTGGCATGAAAATCTTATCTTCCTACCCTAAATGCCCTATTGAGGTCCTCGACTAATATTTAAGTGTTTTATTTTATATTAGGGGTCATAAAGGGGCTGTAAACATGCTGAAAGCACTCAAATGATGCAATTAACGGTCCGTGAAGGCCTGACCCAAATTGAATTACGGAATGAAATATTAGGCACTAAACTGAAAAAAAAAATATTAGGCACCAAACTGAAACCAAAGACATACCTTTGAAACCTTTTATTTTATTTTATTTTATATTTAAGCCTTTATTTTATCTAATTAGATATTTGAACTGTTAGATTCAAATTGGTGCTTGAACTCATCTTCATTATTCAGTTTGGTTCAAAAAAATTAATTTTATGCAAATACCAGTTTAAATCAACAACTATATTTAAAATATCAATATAAATCAATAAATTCAAACTTATTAAAAGAAAAGTGATATTTTTCTTTCTCTGTTGCAGTTACACGCAATTTTCACATTTCTTTTGAGTTCTCACTTTTCTTTTGCTTAAGGGCAGTGGCAGTGGCAGTGGAAGTGCCCCGCTGCTATTTCTGTCTTTTTATTTTTATTTTCTAGTCGATAATTGATTAATTTTATTAGATTTTAGTTATATTTTATCATATTTTTAATAATGCTTTTTCCTTTCTTTAATAAAGGGTATTATGGTTACCTGTACCTTTAAACTCCCGATGCAAGTTTCTTCTATTAATCTTTTTCTTGGTCAACGATTTTATAGATTTCCTTGGTTGATTACTTTCTTGATGTGCGGTTGGTTGTATATTACATTTTGTTAGCTTTCGAAAATATGTGTCGGATGAGATTACGGTTAAGGGAGAATTGTTTTTTCATTTGTCCACTTTAGATACTCTTTAAGTTCTCATCCTCTATGTCTGGTACTTGGGACGTTAGAGTGATATGTCTTTGTATGTCGTTGCCTCAACTATTTACGCCTTTGCTCATCAGGCTATCACTAGTTGCTCATTATTATATATTGTTTATGATTGTCCTGAATATATCTATGATGTTGTTCTACATGATGCCCTTTATGATTAATGCATTCTATGTACCTATTTTTTAAAAAAAAATAATAAATGTAGTTCAAGGAGTTAATTGAACTAAAATAAATTTTAGGCTTAATACAAAAATAAGTGCCTAAATTATGTCTCGAAAAAAGTTTTAGTATCTAAAGAAATTTTCGCTAAAAATAGGAGCCAAATGTTTTCTCAGTTATATTTTTAGGTGTCTATCGTTATATTTTTTATAAATAAAATATTATTTTTAAAAGAAAAAAGAATTTAAAAAAAATTAATTTATTTATAAAACCCAAAGTTTCTTACAAAATAACCCTGGTTGGGTTTTCACATGAGCTTTGAAGCTTCTTCCATGGCAAACGGCGGTGCTACTCGAAGAGAGGACGATTAGGTTTTCTCGGCGTGAGACGACACTTTCACTGGTGTAAGCGGTGACAATCACGATTGGTCGGAGAAGGGTTCGGTGGTGAGGGGCAATAAACGATTTCTTATTAATTTGTGACAATCGACTATCAATTTGGGTGATTGTTGGTCGGGGTTATCGTCATGAGGCGCCGATGAAGGTGGTGGTAGTGGTGGTGACGGTGTACGCTACTGGTGGCGGTGGCGTCGAGGAAGAGTGAAGGGAGAATGGAGAAGAGAGGGGGACGAGGGTGGGAGATTTCTTTTAGAAAAGTTTTTTTAAATATATTTATTTTTAATAAAAATAATATTTTTATTTTTAAATTTTTTTAAATAAATTTTTAAAATTACCAAAACGTGACATATAGGGATGGGCATGGGACTTTAACCCGACGGGTTCTGATCCGATCTGATCGGGTCGGGTTTTTAAATGTGATGTTCGGGTCGGGTTCGGGTTTAGGGTGAAAAATACCTGACCCGACCCAAAAAAATAATTTTACCTTATATATTTAGGTATAATTACAATAATACATCTCTATATATTATTTTTTTCAATTAAGTCACTGTATTTATTGAATAAAAATAATATTTTTAATTATTTTGGGTTGGGTCGTGTTTTTAAGTTATATATCGGGTTCGGGTCAGGTGAAATATTGTCTCATGCGGGTCGGGTCAGATCTCGGGTGGAAGATTCATTGTTCTCGGGTCGGGTGGACAAAAACCCGACCTAACCCGACCCATGCCCATCCCTAGTGACACATGTCACTAAATGAAGATTTTTAATGACAATTAACATACAAACACCTAAAAGTATAACGTTAGAAACATTAGACACTTATTTTTAACGAAAAATTCTTTAGGCACTAAAATATTTTTCGAGACATAATTTGGGCACTCATTTTTATACTTAGACTAAATTTTATATTGAATCTTAAAACTCATCCACCTAATCGGATAAAAAAATCTAAATACCAAATTATACATTGAAATTAAATTAAAGTATCAAGATATATTTCTTTTTAATTTACTTTAATTAAATATTTATTTTCTTTTTTTATAGAAACAACTACTTTTATTTAAAATAGAAAATATCTCAAATTACACTAACGTAAATTAAGCACATAATTAGGAAAATTTCCTATAATTATTGAAACAAAACTAGTAACTTAAGCTCACATAAAAATCATACAAGGAAAGATTAAATCTAACCATGAAACTCGAACAAAGATAGATACAAACAGATCTAATTGCATCGATAAACGAATCACAAAAATGGATCAAACTATTGACAGACTACCAACAAACTGTAAATCAGACTCGAAAGACATGAAAAGCTATACACGAACGCAAATCGGATATCCAAATCCAAATCCAATCCGAGAGTCCAAAGCAGGGAATATCACTATATATCAAATAAGCACCATCTTGATCAGTCGAGATAATATCAAATCAACCCTTAAAAAATAGATAAAAATAACCAAAGAACTGAAAAACATATATAAACGTGGCATAAAGGCAGATGAAAAACGTACAACATAGACAGATTTATTGAAAAATAAAAAAAATAAAAAATAAAGATGTGATAAAAAAGAAAAAGAAAATAAAGAAAACCGTGGAGAACTAGATTTTTAGGGCTTTTCTTTTAGTAGGGTGGCCGATTACATATTCATAGAGAGGAGTAGTTCTATTAAACATTTATATTCTTATATTTACTATTTACGACAAATGAAAATAAAAATAAAAAACCTACTTCAAGTTGGAATCTAAACTTTCATCATGAAATAAAATAAAAGAAGAAAATAATTTTAACATAAATTCAAAATATAAAACTTTTATATTACATCTAAATACAAACACTACTTCAAATACAATACAAATTATTCGCATACAACACAAATATTATCAAAATTATATTTTCAAAATATTTTGATTTTTAAACAGATTTATATATTTTATTATTCATAACTAGTTTATTTTTTTATTAACATGAGATGAATACAATACAATATCTGTTTAAATATAACTCTCAATTATTAGACATTAAACGTTTACACCTCTTATATTTTGATACTCGAATCTAAAATATTAAATCATAACAATTATTCTTTTACTAATGAGATATTGGGTTGTGCAGTCAAATATCTATTTGATTATAATAAAAAATGATTTTTTTACTTAATAATATTCACAAGAAAAGAATATTTTTATTTTTCTTGAAATTAAAAGTAAAAGGGAAAAAGAAGGGAAAAAACGTTTCCTTCATAGAATTGAACTACAAAACTCCAATGCGGTGTTTACATATAACTTAAAAAGGAATGTGATCTGGGTTTGAATTGTTTACCCAACTCAAACCATAGGCTCTTCTACTACGGAAGATTTTGTTTCTCTACAGAGAAATATATTTTACTGCAATATATTATTTTATTTTCTACTCTTTTCATAATTTTGTCGTTCCAAATTGAATGGAACAGTCGAAAATAGCAGCAAATTCTCATATGAAAGAGGTTAGATTCTCTCTCTCTCTTATTTATTTTATATATTTGATTCCCTGTTTTAAATGTGCAGATCTGTTCATGAGGAATTTGGGTCTTTCACATGTTGATTTTTTTTTCTGGTTATTTGCTCAGAAAGTTTTTCATAACCAATATTGATTAAATTTTGTTTTAAAGATATGGAATTAATTTAAAAAATCTGTTCACATTCAGAGCCCTAGGAAAGCATTGCCCTTGAGATTTCATTTTCTTATTTAACTACAGTATTAGTTTTCACTTTTGGACATGGATTCTTCTTATTTTTTCAGTTGTTGGATGGAATTGCTTATTTATGTATTAAATCTTGTCTGAGAATTCATAATCTTATCACTTAGAGATTATGTCTGCCTAGTTTTGTGTTTAGAAATTTTATGGTTGATTTAGAATGAATTCTGGCTTTTAAATCCCTAGGAATGCATTGGGGGTGGGGGCAAGTAGTATAAGTTATTAAGAAAATCCTATTCATGGTGAGTAAAGGTATAAATCACAACTTGCTAGTGACAATGGCTATTCATTCCTATAGAACAAGGCATGACCCAAGATCAGATATCATGGAACTTTTGTTAGGAGTCCTTAACTTGATGTCTTGATATCTTTCTTAACTTGGTTTAAAGCGGCTTTTTGCAATTGCCTGTCATCAACTTAATCAAGTACCTACTGCTGAGTGTGAGATTTAAAGAGCGCTAAAACTGGGTGATATTTCCATTTCTGTTATCTTCTATATGCTGGTAGGTGATTTATGATGTTTGTGTAGATTGAAGGAATTGTACCTAGACTGTGGTTGTTCATCTTGATATGCTTATCTTCCTTGTTTCAAGAAATGCATGCATGTATGTATGGGTATTTGTATGCATTTGAATTTGAATATATATGTACATACATATTGTTTAAATGGGTCATATTGTACCGTTTGCAATACAATACCGTTATTTATGTGCTTAATTTTAGAATGCCTGGTTCAGGCAAACCAAATTATGTGAATTCCTAACAAGAGATGGATTGCAGGATCATTCTTCGCAACATTCCATGAAAAGAGATACTAATATCAAGTACTCGGGAAGTCCTCGTCATCGAAAAGTAAGTTAATGCACGACACCTTTATGTGAACATATATGTTGTACTCCTTGCAATAGCTTGGCCATAATGACTTTTCTGTTTTTTGGTAGAAAGACAACATCTAAAAGTAGGCATTTTAAGTGCAAGAAGAATTTAGGTTCCTGCATAGGTTTTCATAGCAGTCAAATGAAATTTAGTCTCTGTATATGTATTTTGAAAGTTAGTGTTTTGTTGAGACTCACTTTTGCGACCAGAAAGCTAATTATCTTTATTTATGTGGTCCACATTGGGTTACATTGTTTAGTGTGAAATCAACTGAAAATTTCCTAGCTATATGTTTCTAAATTCTGTTGCTTGATGAATGAGATCGTTGATGCTGTTTTTTAGGTGTCAGCAAGATGGGATCCAGATGAAGCATGTCGACCTAAGATTGATGATGCTCCAGTGTTTTATCCTACTGTTGAGGTAATTTTATCTTTTCGGAGTAAAGATATGATGTCAAAATATTCTTTTTCAATATTTCTTTCTGAGAAAAGTAATTGGAGTTTATGACGTTCTATATATTAGGAGTTTGAAGACACACTTGCCTACATAGAAAAAATTCGTGCTGAAGCTGTATCATTTGGTATATGTCGGATTGTTCCGCCACCTTCCTGGAGACCACCTTGTCCACTTAAAGAGAGTGATATATGGGAACATGCTAAATTTTCAACAAGAATTCAGCAGGTTGATTTACTTCAAAATAGGGAGCCAATGAGAAAGAAAAGTAGAAGCCGAAAACGGAAACGGGGAAGGCATTCTAGAATGGGAGCCTCTAGAAGAGGTGCCAATTCTAGTTCTGAATCTATTGTTACTTCCGAGACTGATGAGAAGTTTGGCTTTAACTCAGGATCAGATTTCACTCTTGAAGAATTCCAGAGATATGCAGATGAATTTAAGGAGACATACTTTCGAAAGGACTGTAGTGAGGTATTTAAGTCTGGTATGAATGAATGCGGGAAATGGGAGCCGTCTTGGGAGGATATTGAAGGTGAATACTGGAGGATAGTTGAGCAACCGAAAGATGAGGTTGAGGTGAGCAGTTTTTTCATCTCATTGCTCCTGTCTATTATAAGATTTCATTCGTGTAACCTCTGTTTACTTCTACTGGAGTTTGCTTTCATATTGCAGGTATATTATGGAGCTGACTTGGAAACAGGAATATTTGGCAGTGGCTTTCCTAAGACATCATCTATGTCAACTGGAAATGATGCCGATAAATATGCAATGTCAGGTTGGAACCTAAATAATTTCCCGCGCTTACAAGGTTCAGTGTTATCTTTTGAAGGATGTGATATATCTGGAGTTCTAGTACCATGGCTCTATGTGGGGATGTGTTTCTCGTCATTTTGTTGGGTAAGGCATAAAAACTGCTAGAATTGGGTTCCTCTTAGATCACATGATTAAATGGATTTAAGATATATCTTTATTAATTATAAATGATATTGGTAGATAGAACTGTCCATTCTTGTTTTTGTTATTTTTTTTTAGAAATGTACAACATGCTTCTCATTAGTCATAAACTCAGTTTTGAACTTGTCTGGCAGTATGGTGCTCTATTGTTGTAGGATGATCTAGGGTTGCTTAGTTGCAAGTTACTCTATTAATTTACGTCTTTTACAATGCAATCTTCTATTAGAAACATGCTCACTAACTTGAATTATGCTTTCTATTCTTTTGTGTTTTCCATCTGAATTTTGGAATAGCATTCTGTTGTTATGAACATGCAAAATAATTTTACTGAAAAAATTGTAGATTCAGAATCCCTTTCTGATAGTCTGAATGGTGCTTCATTCCTTAGTTTTTTATTCATCTTCTCATTTTTATTGTATTATTTTTCAATCAGCATGTTGAGGACCACCATCTTTATTCACTAAACTATATGCACTTTGGCAATCCAAAAATATGGTATGGAGTGCCTGGGAATCGTGCTACATCTTTGGAGGCTGCAATGAGAAAGCATCTGCCCGATTTGTTTGAAGAACAACCTGATTTACTCAATGAATTGGTGAGAATTTTTTTTACTTTTATTTTTTATTGTATTTTATCAACTGGAAAATACATCTTGTTGCATTTTATTTATTTGCTTTTGCATATTTTTACTCTTTTTTGTTGTTTCTTGGAGCCATATTTGTCCTTCTCATTGGATAGATGATATACAACCATTACATCATCTCTACTTGAAATTTGTGAACAAAAGCCCGTAAAGCGATTCTTCAATATCTTTGACACTTAATTTTCTTTCATTTCATTTATTTTTTTGCAGATGTTGTTTCCGTTATCCCTAGTCTATTTTCTTTATGTTTCACTACCTTATTACATGCATGAAATTTATGATTCACAGGTCACTCAACTATCTCCTTCAATTCTGAAAGCCGAGGGTGTACCTGTCTATCGAGTAGTACAGCATTCCGGAGAGTTTGTTCTTACCTTTCCAAGGGCGTATCATTCCGGATTTAACTGTGGCTTCAACTGTGCAGAGGCAGTGAATGTTGCTCCTGTTGATTGGCTAGAAAATGGCCAGCTTGCAGTTGAGCTCTACAGTGAGCAGCATCGTAAGACATCACTCTCCCATGACAAGCTGCTTTTAGGATCAGCTCGGCAAGCCATCCAAGCTCTCAGGGAGTTATATGTTCTTGGAAAAGAAACTCCAGGAAACTTGTGGTGGAAATGTGTCTGTGGGAAGGACGGGATGCTTACAAAGGCTGTGAGGGTAGTCTTCTCTTTCTCCCTCTAAAACAACTTGTCTAAATTATATAAATATTCACATAAAAAGTGAAAACCTTATGTCATTATATGATCTAATATATGTGTATAACTGTTAACAGATGAGAAAGCAGATGGAAGAGGAAAGAATAAATTGCCTTCCACCTCATATACCCATACGAAAGATGGACAAAGACTTTGATTTGGAAAGCGAGAGGGAATGTTTCTCTTGTTTCTATGACTTGCATCTATCTGCCTGCAGCTGCAAGTGCTCTCCTGAACAATATGCTTGTCTGAAACATGTAAAAAATTTCTGCTCATGCCAAGATGAAGACAGATTTGTCCTCCTTCGCTATACTGTTGATGAACTGCAAATGCTAGTCAAAGTCCTGGAGGGAGGATTAGATGCTGTCAAGCTATGGGCATCCAGAGATCTTGGATTGGTCTCTGATAATGATTGCGATGCTAATGTGACTAACTTGGTTCAGGATAGTGAGGTATTAAAAGCTGAGCCCGCTCAACTAAGGGAGAGTTTCTCTTGCTCCTCAAGAGTGGAAGAAAAGGTGGATATTAATACTCCTTGCTCATATGGTCATTTTTCTTCAGAAGTAGTGCTGTCAGAGTCTCAGCCTAAATTAAAAGCCTCCCATGTCACCGCCGATAGTCATAACAATGTCTTAAATGTTGGAGTTATTGTCATAGAAAACAGAACAAACTTGGAGCGGGACACCTGTATTGACTTAAATCAAGATATTATATCTGATTTTCCTGCAAGGAAGTCATTGTGTGATTCTGATAGCTCCAATAACAACAGTGGTACTGACGTTGAGACATTTTTGCGAGAGAAAAATTGTGGATTGGATGACGTAAACGAACCTGTTCTGAAGAGACTCAAGAGTGATTGTAGCTCTTCAATTTCTCGAGAATATTCCAACAAGTATCAGCATTCAATTTCAACGAGTCATAAGAATTCTGATGGCTTTGAGGGCAAGAAATTATTTGGCATGGAACTTCAGTTTCCTCGTATCAGTGCAGGACAATCAAATACCTTGATGATGGCAGAAACTGTCAACAGCTCAGATGTAATTGCATCTACAGCTGTCCAAGGTCATCCTTCTGTTGAACCTTTAAATTTTGGGTCCGTCATATTTGGAAAACTATGGTGCAGTAATCAAGCCATATTCCCGAAAGGTACGCAAGAGTGGAACTAAATCCAATTTCTTACTATTTAAATTCAAAGTTTCTTTCCTGCTGGTAGAAGCATTTTACAAATTTACATTCATGCTTCACTTTTACAGGTTTTAGAAGCCGTGTCAAGTACTTTAATGTGCTCAACCCAACAGAGGTTTCTAGCTACATTTCTGAAGTCTTAGATATTGGGCTCCTTGGACCTCTGTTTAAGGTGAGATTACCTCTTTTTTGTCTACTAATTTTGGTATAAAGATATGCCAATAAAACTGAAGCAATCGGTCAAGGTGGGGAGTACAGAACCCAAGGGAAAAAGGGAAGTGAGAAACAAAAAATTAAACCAGAGAGAGAGAGAGGTTTCTTTGACACATAAGCTTACAAACAACCATGAGTGGTCAATGGATATGTGTCACTGAGTTTATGTTGAACCTCACATCTGTTATTTTCTATTTCAGGTTACTTTAGAAGTCTGCCCCACCATAACCTTCTCGAACATGTCGGCAGACAAATGTTGGCAAATGGTGCTGCAGCAATTAAATCAAGAAATTCTGAGGAGAAGAAACCTGGGGGAGAGTGGGTTGCTTCCTTTACAATCTCTGCAGACCATCAATGGGCTCGAGATGTTTGGATTTTTATCACCACCAATAGTTCAGGTATCACTGCCTTTATAAACTTGAAATATTTCTTAGTTAACAGATATCTGGATTAAAAGGCCTTGGATAATCAAATATGATCCTTATGGTTCTTATCTTGATATTGGGCATGTCTTTAACAAATGTGATAATTATCATAAACAAAAATGTCTTTTTTATTAATCCCCTTGCTCTTCATTTCTCTTGGAATACCTGTGCCCAAAGCATTCCAACGTGAGTTTGAAGTTACGATCTTTCAAGAATCCTCAAAACATGTGGAAAACTTAGTAAAACCTAACATGCCCATGTTGGTCGTATAGCTGTATTCAACACTCTACAAGAGACGGATAGTATTGGAAGTATGCATAGAGCATACTCTCATTGCAAGCATGCACTTGTCTAATAAAACAATAGTGCTAGTAATTTTCTTAATGAGTTTTAGTTGTGATATCTGGATTTGGTTATTTATTTGTTAATAAATTGATTTCCTGCAGGCTATTGAAGCTCTTGATCCAAATCAGAAATGCTTGGAGTACTGGAATAACAAGTCCACTCGTGATAACAATGAAGTTAAAAAGTACTCACTTAGATTGAGCTGCTCGGTAGGCGAATCAAAAGCTAAAGTTTTTGGTGTTGATTTGAGTAACCAATGTCACGATGATCCCAGTCAACACTCTGTTGATGAAGTAGAGGTAGTTCTAAGAGGACTTTTCAAGAAGGCAAGTCCTGAAGAGTTAAAAATAATGCACAGGGTACTATGCAGCGATGCACAAAGTGCAGAACGCCGAGTGGCATATGAAAAATTGACGGAGGAGATCCATAAAACATGTCGGTGAACAGCATCTTCCGAAAATAAAGGTAGTTGATTCTGATGAGTAGTAGTTGTTATTTAGGTTTGATTGTTGGATTACCACACTGATTCTTTTAAACAACTGGTATAGTGCTAGTACGGCACAAGCAGGCATTGTGATTGCCAATGTGCTGAGAGTCCCCCATTGTTAATGCCACTAACATATCATACATACATACAACCTTGCTGAATTTTGGTAGCCTTGCTCAAATACATGTCCTTTTACTAAATACTCTCTTGCTTTCACTTTTTTATTTTTTGGTTTGCTCAAGTTTTGGATTGGAAACTCCCAAATGATAATAATAATTAAAATAATGATATTTTTTTTAAAAGTTCGAAATAATGATAAATCCGGTCACCCCATACAGTATTATCGAAGAAGAAGAGTGATAAATCAGCCATACACATATTCTCAATTTATCATGCTTGCATGCATAAGTTCATATTGTTATTGGAGAAGAAGAGTGATAAATCAGTCACCCATACATATTTCTCAAATTATCATGCTTGCATTGCATGCATAAATTCATAGTGTTATCGAAGTAGAGAGTGATAAATCAGCCACCCCGTACATATATTCTCAATTTATCATGCATACATACATACAGTGTTATCAAAGAAGAGAGTGACAAATCAGTCACCCCATACATATATTCTCAATTTATCATGCATACACACATGCAGTGTTGTCGAAGAAAAGAGTGAGAAATCGATCACCTCGTATGTCGTGGGAAAGTAACGGAGGACGTGCAATTTCTCGACGGCTAGTGTTTGCAAGCGTTAATGGCGTAGCTTTTGCCGAGTTCAACGTGTAGTTTGTCGTTGGCCTGGCCACTAGTTCCAGAATTTGTCACTGTATACCTATTGACTAATTAAGTATTTTTTTTATGAGATATTATTGACTAATCAAACATTATGCTTTTTGGCCTTTAATTTATTGACTAATTGGATTTCCTGAAATAGAAAAATCGAGTCCCCGTCTTCATGACATTACACCTAAAGCAACATAACCTAAACAATAGTTTTTTCTAAGGTTATTGTCTTTTTCAAAACCTAAAAAGTGTTTTTTTAATCTCAGAAAATCCTAATTTGGGATTAAAAAAAATATTGCGGATACCGAAATTTAATAATCAAATTTAGCGTAAGATGCGATCTTATTTCAAGCACTGATAGTGAAAATATTATTTAATAATTTTAAATAATTTTAAATAATAAATTTTAACACTTAATCTAGAAACTTTAAATTTTAAATTTAAACCTTAAATTATAAAACTTGTAATCTTAATTAAGAGACAAACATCGTTAGAATTCGTTTGTACGACATTTTTTTTCACAATCAATACATGAAATAATTTTCCAACGAATAAAACATGTTTGAACAAAGTGCAATTATAACCATAAACAATTGTTGTACCCAATTAAATTTATAATTAAAATATATCTCAATATTTTTTTTTAGTTGGTTAATTGCCCATTCGGCTAAATTTGGAGTAATGGAAATTACAGGAAAGATAACAGCCAAAAACCGGTATATGATATTATATTTTACTTGTAAACACCGTCATTTTGTTTTGTTCCTTATCCCCTTTTCAATTATTTATTTATTTATTTACTAGATTTTTTTTATTTAAATACAAGGAAAGAGACCCGTATCGATGTAAATATTTATTGGGAATATATTTATGATAATTTTTCTTTTATTTTTTTCTCATTAAAAATTTGCGAATATATTTATTGTGTATTTATAATTGTATTTAAGAAGTTATATTTATTTAAAATTTGACAAGTTTAAGATTTATTTACATAAATTTTAAGTACAATCACAAATAATACGTCTAAATAATTATAACTAAAATAAAAAAGAACAACACTGTGTGAAGTTGTAACCATAATATATAGGAGTATAAATTTGGACATGTTCTCTATGTATCATGGATTAAATCTTACTAAATACGGAGAGAATATACAAATACCACGAATTCAAGCATCAAACCTCTGATCAAATCCAATCATTTTTGTTTAGTAATTAATACAGTCTAACTAAAGCTGATTGGAATTCAAATAATTGAAATTTAATATTCCTTTCATCTTTTTAGGTCAAGCTCAATTTGAGGTTAACTTTGGAGTGTTTAGTGGAGAATTGCTGAAAGTGTATGAGCGAATAAGCCAAATTTAGAGTTGACTCGTATTAAACTTCACCTCAAATCCCTATATTATCAACTAGATGGTTCAAGTGGTAACCAGTTTGATATATGTTTAAACAAGTTTCGAATTCGAGTCTTTTGTGTATGCATAAAATCTCAGCTAGGAGACTCACCTACCAAAACTAGACCTAGGTTGGTCCGAATTAATCGATGCAAAACCTTGGGAACAAAAGAAAAAAAGCAAAGCACTCTAGGGAAAAAGGTTGCTTTAGTGGAAATGTACATCCCAATAACCAAGCTTGGTTGAGTTTCAAAACCACACCCGCCTTTAAATTTGAACTATTAATAATTCACTCCCCCTCCCATGTCAAAATTTATAGATCATTTGAGGACCAAAGTTGTTATTTAACAATTAATTGATGCTTTATAAATTTCCACCCTTCTCAAAATACAACTTGTAAGCTAAACATTGCCATGGAAAAGGAGATGGAGTTGTCTTCTCTTGTTTCTCTCGTTGCACCTATTCTTCTTCTCGTACTCTTTGTTATTCTCGTTGCCACCTTTGCACTCAGAACCGAACCCAGATCAAGTAGCGTCAAAGGGCTTCCACCAGGGAACTTTGGATGGTGGGTCATAGGTGAAACTCTCGAGTTCATGTTTGGGAACCCGGAAAATTTCGTGCTTTCTCGGATGAGAAAATATTCTCCACATATTTTCAAAACAAAGATTATGGGTGAAGAAACTGCCGTCATATGCGGTCCTGAAGGAAACAAGTTCTTGTTCTCCAACGAACAGAAGCTCTTCACCGCTTTCCGTCCTCAAACCACCCAGAAACTATTCCGATCTTACCAGTCCGCAGCCACCGCATCTGTTCAAATCGCCCGAGAAGAAGAGACGAAAGTATTTCGTTCGCCGGGATTCTTGAAACCCGAAGCGCTCGTGAGGTATTTGGACAAAATGGACGCCATAACGCAGCAGCAAATGAAGAAATACTGGGAAAACAGAGACCAAGTCGAGGCCTTTACGCTTTCGAAGACGTTAACGTTAACACTGGCGTGTCGTTTCTTCCTTGGCATCGATGAACCCGAGCGTATCTCTCTGCTCGTTAACCACTTCGACGACATAACCGTGGGGATGCATTCGCTGCCTTTGGATTTCCCGGGGACCGGTTTTTACAAAGCGAACAAGGCGGCGAAGGCGATCCGGCGGGAGCTTAAAGAAGTTATAAAGGAGAAGAAAGCTGCCATGGTGGCGGGAGCCTCCATGCAAGACGTACTCTGTCATATGATCGTGGCCACCGATGAGGCCGGGAAATTCATGGCGGAGACTGAGATCGCCGATAAGATTATGGGATTGCTGGTTGCCGGATACAGCACCGTGGCTACTGCCATGACTTTCTTCATGAAATATGTTGGCGAAAGGCCTGATATTTATGCCAAAATTCTAGCAGGTAATCACACTAGGATGTTTTAATTAGGCATAACGATTTAATTCTTCTCCCTATCTAGTTCTAACACCGTCCCTGAATGCAGAACAATTAGAAGTGGAAAGTGGGAAAAAGGCAGGGAAGCTCTTGGAATGGGATGACATTCAGAAAATGAAGTATTCGTGGAATGTGATGTGCGAAGTGATGAGACTGACGCCTGCGCTTCAAGGAACATTCAGACTCGCCCTCTCTGATTTTACTTATGCTGGTTACACTGTTCCCAAAGGGTGGAAGGTATGTATATTCCAAGTTTTTTTAAAAAAAATCTCTAAGGCTAAAACTTTTAACATTGTGTGTGTGCGTGTGTTGCAGATATATTGGACAGTGAGCACAACAAACAAGAACCCGGAATACTTCCCAGAACCGCAGAAATTCGATCCATCCAGATACGATGAAGGAAACAAGTTGCCAGCATTTGCGTTTGTTCCGTTCGGAGGGGGGCCTCGAACGTGTCCAGGCAAAGAATACGCACGCCTCGCTATTCTCACATTCGTGCATAACGTTGTGAAAAGGTTTGAGTGGGAGTTGGTGAATCCCAAGGAAAAGATTGTGTGGCGTATGATGCCAACCCCAGCTAATGCCCTCCCCATTCGTCTATCTCCACGTCATTCAACAACCTCCTAGTCTTTTTTATCTTCCCCGGCCCCAACACCTGATGTTGTGATAAAAACATTAAAATCTGTGATTGGATTGTATGTCATAGTTTAAATACAAATCACGTGTTACTGTAATGCATGACATAAATTGATATGACGTTATTGTATCTTAGAATCTTTTACTTTCCTTCTTTCTTTTTCCACTTTCTTCTTTAATTGAAAGGAAGATACAACCGAAAAGAAGGAAGCGTTGGTGTCTTCCCTTTTCATTACAATGGTTGAATAACAATATCCGACCATATCTTATATCTTCAACTTCCTTTCCCCCCCCCCCTTTTTGAATGTCTTAACTTAAGCTCTTAGCCATCAATTTTTAGCTTTATCATATTCAATATGTATTATTTGAAATGCACATCCACCGATACAGTTCAAACTATTTCCATGCTTATCAAACGCCATTTATCTTTTTGATTTTGGAGACATCATTTAAGAACAGTTCGAAAATGGCAAGTGGCCCAGCAATTTCTTTCTTCTCACTCTCCTCTTCCAATTGCTTCAAGTCTGTCAAAAAAGGCTAAAGACCTTGACCTTTGTGATGAAATATAAGACACAAAAAATAACAAATTAAAAAACTACAATGAAATCAAATAATGACTCAAAGGTAATACAGTCTAAAGCTGAACATTGTACTCCTTTGGACATGTTGCTGAATTCCCTATTAAACGAGGTACTAAGTAGAATACAAGTATGTGTCCACTGTCTAGCCTCTAGGATGGATTTTCGAAAATTGAACATGCACATAGAATACCCTAAAGGAACATGAATATGGACCACAATTACTTGACCAAATAAAGTGATAAGACCAAATAAAGTGATAAGACAAAAGTAACATAAAGCTATGTAAACAGAGAGCATCTACATAAAGAATATTGTCTTCTGTAACTCTTCCATGCATCGATCATACTAAATGAAAATTTTTTCTTCTTATTTTTTATTTTGGCACCCATGGAAAAGATGCATGATTATTAACTACAAATAACAAAAGTAACACAAAGTTAATTAACTACCATTGGACACACTCTGCCAAGCTATCCACAAGTGTTCTCCTCAAGGATCAAAACCTATGTTACTCAGACTAATTCAAGGACGAGCATCATATACAAATATATATCTCCAATCTATGCATATAGTTTTATGTTTTAGACAAAATTGTTGATCACATCCACACGTACTAGGGAAGAAATAAGAAGTCGGGGGTAACATAGATCAAACAACACATTTTAATTAAGAAATTTTAATACTGACAATAAAATACTTCAAGGAAAATCCCCACATAGAAATATAGCCACCAAAACTCTTATAAATGCAACTACAAAGTTCAGATTAAAGATAAAAGTGTGCCCACCTAAAAATCAAATTTCGATTCCACGACATTGAATTCAGTTGACTATGCGTAAATAATAAATTTATTCTTTCATTTATTTTTATTTTTATTCTTATTTTATTTTGTTTTGTAGGGAACCCACAGTACTGTAGTCGTACGTAGAGCGATTATCAAGGGATGAAAAGATAAAGCAATTAAAGAGGAAAATATTCTTTTTAATTTATTCATTTCTTTTATTTTATTTCCTTATTTTTAATTTTCTCTCTCCATTGTCTTTTCACATCACATTTAATTTTTCAGTTTACTTTTTCTTTTTTTCACTTACTTATTTACCCCATCCGCTCATTTCTTTTCAACCATCCATTCACTCCATCTTTCTCATTATTTCTTTTAACTTTTCCTTACATCTTCTTCTTCCCTCATTTTCCTCCATAGTCGAAAATCTTCAAACACACAAAGCTCACTCCTTTTTCATTTTTCTTCCTTCAAAACGGTGCGAACGAGACCTATAGAGGCAGAAGATCCTATTACTCAACAGTTCAAAAATGATGAAGCAAATGCGCGATTTCAAAATTTTAAAAATTGAAAGATTTTTTTTGAGTTAGGGTTCATTTTCACAGATGAACATGATAGTTGTTTTGGACCAGTCGTGATGAATATAGTTACTCCACACAAGTAGAACAAGTTTGCGAGGCACACCGGTTCTGTGAATGCATCGTTGGTGAAAGAGTTTTATGCCAATATTTCCAAACTAACATAGCATGTTATTTTCATGCGAGGTGAGTATATTCGATTTACACCAATTGTCATTAATCATTACTTTTATTTATAGGGTGTTGAAGATCAACATGCAAAGTTTGAGAAAAACGTCGACAATGCAACTTACGACTGAGTTTTGGAGGATTTGTGTTTTTCGAATACTTCTTGGAATGTCCGACAAACCAATCATTACAAAGTTATAGGGAACACCTCCAACCGCGTGCCAAGTTGTGAAACCATTTTATGAAGCACAAGCTAATACCAACAGCCCACAATACGACGGTATCTCTCCCCTATTAATGCTCTTATATTCTATTATGGTAACTCGTTCTATTAATGTGGGTAGAATTATTGTTCAACAAGTGCATGAATACTTGGGTAAAAGGCTAGTGCTTTAGTTTTTCCAAATCTGAATACTGTTTTGTGTCGCAAGAAAAAGGTATGTGAGAGTTCTTTTGATGAAATTTTATCTAGAGTTTCGGGTATTACTAGGGCCAGGTTACCATTACTGTTGGATTTTAAAAACCCAAAATCTAATGCCCCTATTAATAAAGAGTCTGCAGATGATGTACCATCCAATTCGAGGCAAGAATGCTGGCCCTCGAAGAAGCTGTCATGCAAACCTATAATCATTTACATGCTTTGCACGGTGATATCAGAAATTTCTTTGGTTATGTGAAACACATAGATAATTTGGTGTAAGCTATGTTTCAGGAAATGATTCCCCACGTGCAACAGAATTTCCCAGGTTTTCCAGATGAAATTATGTCAGCATTCAATGTCAAGGCATCTCCAGAACTAGATGAAGGTGATCCCCCTATTGATGAACCGATTTCAAACCCTCCCTGATCCCCGATTTCATACTCACATATGGTTCTAGATGACAGAACCCCCAGTCCTGTTCCTGCACCTGAACCTTCTCATGCTCGACGCAGCAGTCGTCGTACAAAAACATCAGCTAGACGCATCAACATCTCTCATTACTATTCTACTTCTTCCGATTCCATCCCCGTACCACTTTGCAAGCGTACAAGATAATGAGCTTCCAGCACCTCCACTGCAACACCACCACCGAAAATATGAGGTGCCTCTATTTGCATTCATTTTGCATTCTATTGCATGACATGTAGTTTTATTTCTTAGTTAGTTCTCTTTCAGCATTGAGGACAATGTTTCCCTTAAGTTTGAGGAGGCAATGTTCTTTGTAGAATATGTGCATGATAATATTAGCATAACGTTATGTCATTGCATCAGTAATTGGTAAGATAGTTAGAAAAATTATTTTGGTGATACCCAATGATGATGAACTTTTAGGCTAAAAATTGAATGTAAATGATTGTTGGGAATGATAGAACTGACTCTAGGTCTTGATGCTTTGTGAATTATTCTTACATGATTTGTATGTTCTCTATACTTAGGAAATTTAAAAAAAATTTATGAAGGAACTCTGATTAGTCTTGGCATCGAAATTTGGTATTATGCTTAAATGATAAATCAATGATAACTCCTTTATATATGAGATTGTGAATAAATGTTTCGGCATAGCTGTAGAGGGGCACTCTTATTTCCTGTGGCATTGCCTGACACTTTCTTTAATAAATGGCAGCTAAATGCATATGAGTGAATGAAAGTAGTCACGAGATGACTCTACCTAACTAGATTGGGGGTGGAAGGTATGCTTCCTTTCACTTAGAGTGTGGGAAGGTAGGTGTGATGGGCTGACTCTCCTCATAGCAGCATTAAAAAAATAGTAAAAAGTGAGCATAAATGTGCTTAATGAGTAAATGTTGGGGCAAAACTAGGGGACTTGATTAGAAATTATTTAAATTTGTTAAGTATAGATTGGATATAATCACGCACACACACTACCATAAAGACTCTTGACCTAGGGAAAAGTACTTGAATTCTTGATATGTCTAGAATGTTGAAGCATAATTTTTCTGAGGGTTGAAATCCTATTTTTGTCTTGACTGTTTTGCTATTGAACATTCCCATGACATTCTGTTTGTGTTAAGTGATATCTATTTCTTGAGGACAAGTAATATCTTAAGTTTAGGGGGTGTGATAACTCCTTAAAAAGGCTACTTTAAGGTCTTTTTCACTTAAGTTATTGCTTGTTTAAAAGCCCATTTAGGTAATTTTAGATGCATATAGTTTCATTAGTGGTGGTTGTGTTATTTTATCTTATAAAGGTGTTGTATGAGGGAAATGTGGTTGTTTATGTTGTGCAGAAAATAACAAGCAAGATGTTGAACTGGGAAGGAATGTTGTGACATCACACATTGATGAAGCAAATAGAAATGCCTGGCATTTATGGCACAAAAAAAAGATAAATATATATTTTTATAAAATAACAGTTGGCAAGGCACGTGTCTGATGGTTATAACCGCCTACTGGGGACCACTACCACCTGGGAGGATAAAACTCACGCCCAAGGAGTGAATATAGGGGTATGATGGGTATTTGGAGTGTTAACGCCCATTAATACCCTTGGATATTTTTTATTATTTAATACACCTCATATGAGAGAGAAGAAGATGATACATTGATCATCTTCAGCTAAATTTTCTTCACATTCTCCACCATATCCTTATTTCCATTCTCTAAGTGGTGTTCCTCTATTAACGAGCTTCAAGGAGTGACGAGCTAGGCGTCTGAGAGAAGCTAGCAAGCTAAGGAGAATCGTGCTGGTTGAGGAGAGCTCTGGTTGCGCACGTCGAAGGCTTCTTCTCCCTTCCCCTTTGCTGTTATTTTTCATTTGATATTGGGTTGTTGGAATGAATGAATTTGATAAGATGCATATTAGCCATATATTCTATGATATTTTCCTCATATTTGAATAACTAAAATTGTTTAAATCATGGATTTTGATTATATTTCATATTTTATGGATTATGTTGAAGATTTGGATTAAACAA